ATTTACGGTTTCAACAATTTCAGCAAAAATAATCTGACGTAGGTTAATTTTAATATTGTTTTCGAAATAATGTAACCACCAAAGATCTAAGGCTCTAAGAGTAGAATAACGACCTCCGGATGGTCGAAACCACCAAGAAATCATTAGATGAAGAAAATGTTCATGAAGGTCTAAGAAACTTGCACTATCCCTTCTTTTATAACGAGATCCTAAAACCTGTTTTTTATTTGAAATACCATCATTATCTAATTCGAATGTATTGGCTATGTAAGCCGAGTCAATATATAAGAATTGTCCTAGAAGATAGGAACGAATTCCAATGGTTTCGGTTTCAGTTTGGTTTTTAACACAAACGGCATTAGAATAAAAAATACAAACAAGTTGATGGTAAACGATGGGTTCAAGGTCAAATAGTTTATCAAATTTCCACTCTTGTAAAAGAGGAAGATATTTAAAATTAATAGCTAACATAGCTTGACGAGAGGGAATACGTTCTTCTCAGATTTTGTAAGAGTCAAAATATTGATAATACCAAAAACGATGATTTCTAGGACCAGGATGATTGAAGCACGAATTTTGGATAGTCAAGTTAGGATCAATGGGATTAGGATTAGAAATTGGAATAGGAGGAGGATTTGGAGGTGGATTTGGTTGACGGTGTGAACGACTAGATGATGACCTAGCACGTTTAGGATTGGACATGGTTTAGGAAATCGAAATAGAATTGATAATCTGCAATTTAGAAAACACATGTATGCAATTCAATCAATCTCAAAACTCAATTGAGTCCTCAATATTTCAAGGTTCTCTAAATCAATCCTAATGGGCAAAGTTTTTGAAAAACTTTTGAAAAATATGGTTTTGAGAAACAATATATGTATAGTTTTCATAACAACAACATAATTTAATCAAAACACAATAATTTGAAGAAAAAAAATTATTTCGAAAATTTAGAAAATTTTGGAAAATTCTTGTGTTTTTGATGAAATTAGTTGTAATATCTAGTTTCTAATCACTAAATAATCAATGCCCGATCTAAAATTCAACCTAGAACTAATTAAAACTAGTTCTATGTTCATAAATTGATAAAAAAGAAGTTTTGGAAAACTACCTTGAATGATTTCGGATTTGAGTGAGATTAGATGAAGTTTGCACGTTTTTTATGATTCCAACAGGTTTAGAGGATGATATTTGAAGTGAATTCCGATTAAAAACGTTGATTTGACGCAAAAAATGGAGATTTGAGTGCTTAGAGGGAGAGAAATGGCGGAAGGAAGAAAATAGAGGGTTTTGAACAAAAATAAGGGTTCTGCCCGTGTTTAACCAGAACCCCAGGGGGTATCGATTCCCCTGTGGGGGGAATCGGTTCCCCTTCAAAGGGGGAATTTGTTCCCTCAAGGGGGGATCGATTCCCTATGCACCAAAATACTGAAATCTGATTTTAAACACCCAAAATGCTAAATTAATTTCCTCTAGTGGTATTGGCAACTCATATATTGAAAATTAATCATGTTCAAACAATTCAATTAATCTTTAAACGATATTTGAACATAAAATTAATTTTTCATCAAGAATCATAAACTCTCCCTAACTAATAGCTATGAATGCAATCAAAAATTACTATTATAAGCATTTTTCATTTATTATTAAAAGTTCTAAAATTATTTTAAACACTCAGTGAAGATAGATTGGTCAAACCTAATTCTCTCCTAAGTGTCCAAAATCGTTCCTTGTCTAAAGGTTTTCTAAAGATATCCGCTAATTGGTTCAAAGTATCAACAAATTCTAGAACAACATCTTCCTTAGTGACATGGTCTCTAATGAAGTGATGTCTTATTTCAATGTGCTTAGTTCTAGAGTGTTGGATGGGATTTTTAGTGAGACAAATAGCACTAGTATTGTCACACTTGATAGGAATGGTACCTACTTCAATTCCATAATCAAAAAGTTGTTGTTTCATCCATAAAACTTGTGCACAGTAACTACGAGCTGAAATGTATTCGGCTTCAGTGGTAGATAATGCAACATAATTCTGTTTCTTTGAAAACCAAGAAATTAGCATATTTCCAAGGAATTGGCAAGTACCGGAGGTGCTTTTCCTATCTAATTTGCATCCTCCATAATCCACATCAGAAAAAGCATGCAAGCTAAAGCTAGAGTCTCTAGGATACCAAAGTCCTAAACTAGGAGTGTCTTTAAGGTATCTAAAGATTCTCTTAACAGCTAGTAAATGTGATTCCTTAGGACATGATTGAAATCTAGCACATAAGCAAACACTAAACATAATATCCGGTCTACTTACAGTTAGATAAAGTAGAGATCCAATCATTGACCTATATAATTTAACATCTACACATTTACCTCCTGCATCTAAGTCAAGCTTTATGAAGAGCTCATTGGAGTGTCATGAGGTTTCCCATTTTCCAGTCCAAACTTCTTGAGCATATCTTTGACGTACTTAGCTTGATTGATGAAGATGCCATCTATTCTTTGCTTGATTTAGAGTCCCAAGAAAAATGAGAGCTCCCCCATCATGCTCATCTCAAACTCACTTTGCATTAGCTTAGAAAATTATTGGAAAAGAACATCATTAGTAGAACCAAATATTATATCATCAACATAAATTTGAACTACTAATAAATCTTTACCTTTATGCTTCAAAAACAATGTAGTGTCAACCTTCCCTTTTGAAAAACATTTTTCAATTAAAAAATTTGACAATCTTTCATACCAAGCTCTAGGAGCTTGCTTTAAACCATAAAGAGCTTTTGTCAATTTTAAAACATGATCCGGAAAATTTGAATCTTCAAAACCTGGAGGTTGTTCCACATACACTTCTTCTTTTATAAAACCATTTAAAAATGCACTTTTAACATCCATTTGATATAATTTAAATTCATTGAAACATGCAAATGCTAATAACATTCTAATTGCTTCCATCCTAGCTACGGGAGCGTATGTTTCATCATAGTCTATGCCCTCTTCTTGAGTATACCCTTGAGCAACAAGTCTAGCCTTGTTTCTCACTATATTACCACTCTCATCAAGCTTATTCCTAAATACCCATCTAGTACCTACAGTAGATTATTACTAGGCCTTTCAACTAATGTCCATACTTTTCTTCTCTCAAATTGATTTAACTCTTCTTGCATAGCCATAATCCAATGTTCATCATTTAATGCTTCTTTAATATTCTTAGGCTCTATGCATGAGATAAATGCAACATAATTACAAATATTTCTAAGAGAAGATCGAGTTGTTACCCCTTTGGATGGATCACCTATAATTTCACCATCCTTGACATAGTTGTACTCTCTTGGATAAGATACTTCCCTTTCTTCAATGGTTGGATTCTCAAGAGGATCATGAGTTTCCTCATTTTTCGTTTCTTCCTTTGATGATGGTTCTCCAACGTCATGTCTAACGTCATTTGTATTTATAACACCTACATCATCATTCACACAAGAATCCTTCCTCGGAAGGGGGATTATCATCGAAAACAATATGTATAGACTCTTCTACAACTAAAGTTCTTTTATTAAATACACGATAGGCTTTAGAATTTAAGGAATAACCCAGAAAAATTCCTTCATCACTTTTAGCATCAAATTTGCCAAGGTTTTCTTTACCGTTGTTTAAAATAAAACATTTACATCCAAAAGGATGAAAATAACTAATGTTAGGCTTTTTATTTTTAAAAAATTTCATATGGAGTTTTCTTTAAAATTGGCCTAATCATTACTCGATTTACAACATAACAAGCCGTATTTGTGGCTTCCATCCAAAAATATTTTGGCAAATTATTTTCACAAAGCATGGTTCTAGCCATTTCTTCTAAAGTTCGATTTTTCCTCTCAACAACTCCATTTTGTTGAGGGGTTCTAGGTGCTGAAAAATTATGGCTAATACCGTTAGATTTACAAAATTCAGTAAATCCAAGATTTTCAAATTCAGTTCCATGATCACTCCTAACACTAGTTATAGAGTAACCTTTTTCATTTTGGATTACTTTTGAAAACGTGATGAATTGTTCTAATGCTTCATCTTTAGTACTTAAAAATAGAACCCAAGTATATCTAGAATAGTCATCTAACAAGACAAATGCATATTGTTTTCCACCCAAGCTAGTAGTTCTAGTTGGCCCAAAAAAATCTAAATGGATCAATTGTAAAACTGTACTAGCTGATACATCATTAATGGATTTAAAAGAAACTCGCTTTTGTTTTCCTTTAGCAAAAGCATAACAGATTTTATCATTATCAAATTTAAGCTTAGGCAACCCTCTTACTAGGTCTCCTTGAATTAACCGTTGCAAAACACTCATACTAGCATGTCCTAGTCTCCTATGCCATAACCAACTATCATGTTCATCCTTAGCAACTAGGCATAAATTAGTCATATCAAAAGAATCTAAATGCACCATGTATATGTTTCCTATTCTATGACCAACAAGCATAATCTGATTAGATGCAATGTCAATGACTTTACAACCATTAATTTCAAATAAGACATTGAATCCTTTATCGCATAATTGACTAATACTCAATAGATTATGCTTTAATCCATTCACATATAAAACATTTTTAATTTGTATGGAAGAGGTATTACTTATTATACCAATACCTTTAATGTGACCTTTTGAATTGTCTCCAAAAGTCACTTCTCCTCCATTTTTGGCGTTAAGCTCAATGAACCAGCTTTTGTCTCCGGTCATGTGTCTTGAGCATCCACTATCAAGGTACCATGAATTTGAATTTGTTTCTCATGCCTTGTATCAATGCTCCTTTCCCTACAAACATAGATTAATTTTTGATTTTTGGTACCCAAATTCTTTTGGATCCATATTCATTAGTTTCCAAAATCCTAGTCCCCTTAGGTATCCATTTGTGTAGGATATTTTTATCTTTAGTAGTAATGAGTTCTTTAGGAAACCACATACTTCTAACGATTTTTCCATTAGAGGTTCTTTGGGGACCTCTATGATTGTAGTTTCTAAAACTTTTTCTAACAAAGTTGGATTTTGAATTTCCACCTTTTTCAAAATGTTTTGTTCCAACTTTATCAAAAGAAGTTTTAAGATCATCAATTTTCTTTTGATGATCATCATTGATCTTTGAAAGTAAATTTTGCAAATCTAAATTTTTCTTTTCAAACTCTTCTAGTTTGATTTGCAAATCTTTGATTTTACTTTCAATATCGTTGTTGGTTTTGGATATGAGTTTGTTTTCATTTTTCAATTTTGAAAACTCATTTTTATATTTTAAAAATAATTTCTAATAATCCGAAGCCAACCCATTATATTCCTCTAATAACTCATCATAGGATAAATCATCAAAATCGGATGAGTTAGAGGTTACCTTAGAATCTTCCCCAAATGACATTAAGCACAAGTTAGCTACTTCTTGTTCCTCTTCATCAGAACTTTCTTCATCTCTCCATGTAGCCACATGAGCCTTGTGCTTATTCTTTGATTGACCCTTTTTCTTCAATTATGGGCAATCATATTTGACATGCCCTGGCTTTTTGCATTCGTAGCAAATGATTGGGTCATTCTCTTTCGGTTCATTTTTGAGGCCTTCATTTCGTTTGAATTTTCTTCCTCGATAAGGTCTCATCATTTTTCTGAACCATTTGGCAAACAATGCCATTTCCTCGTCATCGTCATCGTTATTCGAATCACTCTCATCTTTTGTGGATTTGAGAGCAACTCTAATGTTTTTCTTCTTCTCCTTCTCCTTTGGTGTCTCGTCAATCTTGTCGAGGTCCACCTCATCTTCGAGCATCATTTCATGAGTGAGGAGTGACCCAATTAGCTCTTCAAGAGTTAAGGACGTTAAGTCCTTAGACTCGATGATTGTCGTCTTCTTTGATTACCACGATTTTGGGAGGGAGTATACTAACTTCCTCACAAGCTTTTCATTTGAAATGATCTCTCCATATGATTTGAGACCATTGACAATCGTTGAAAATCTATCCGTCATAGCTTTGATATCTTCATTTGGTTTTATCCTGAAATTTTCATAGCTATGCGTTAGAATACTAATTTTAGATTTCTTTACCTCATCGGTACCTTCATGAGTGACTTGAAGTTTGTCCCATATTTATTTGGCGGTTGTACATGATGAAACTCTTCCGTATTCATCTGGTCCAAGAGCACAAAAAAATGATATGGATGGCTTTGGAGTTGAGCTGGAACATTCTTGTCTCTCCTTCACTCCACAAACCTTGGATGAGTGAGAGGTTTGATGTATCCTTTTTCTACAGCATTCCATGCTCCCATGTCACTTGCTTGAATGAAGTACATCATTCTATTCTTCCAATAGGCATAGTTAGCTCCATTGAAGAAAGGAGGCTTGTTGACGGGCATCGAGTCGAGACCGGAGTCGAAGTTTGAAGCGGAGGCCATTGATGACTTTGATTATCGATATAACTCTTCCCGAATTGACTCAAGAGGCGATTAAACCTTCAAATGAGTTAGGATTTGATGCCAATTGTTAGGTTAACCGATTGACTGAATCTGCCAAGAGTGGGTGAATTGGCAATAAAAATTTTGTGGAAGCTTTTCCAGAAAATTGAAAGAAATTGCACAGCGATTTAGAGTGGTTCGACTTTATCAACCAAAGTCTATGTCCACTACCTTAGCTATCCACACTAAGGATTTTCCAACAAATTCACTAATTTGTTCTTTCTTTTGAGGCCAAAGAGATAACCTTACAACTCCCTCAAGAATATACCCCAATTCTTGAGAACACTCTTTTCTCAAAGAGAAATACAAATTTGCAAACTTACAAGAAAAACCACACAAGGCAAATATGTTTGCACAATTCTAGAACAAAGAAAGAACACTCAAGAATAAATACAATTGAGCACAATAAGTGTTCTTGAAAGCAAAATGAATATTGAATGAAAAATAGGCTTGAAATGCTCAAACTTGAGGTTTGATGCTTTCTCTTTGATTCTCTCTTGATTCTAATTGCTTGATGTTTCTTGTTATTGATCAATGGCTTCTAGGCTTGCTTAAATACACCTTGAATCACTTCTGAACGTTGGGGATAATTAGAGAAAATAATATAGTCGTTTTAGTGTGAAAACAATTAATAAAACAGTTTGGAGCGTGGGGGGAATTGGTACCCCCTATGGGGAATCGGTTCCCTAAGTGTAAAATTCAAATATTTCGACCGTTATACAAGGGGGGAATTGGTATCCCTGGGGGGGAATCGGTTCCCTCCGAGCATACTGGAATTCTCGGAGCCAAACCATTTAGGGGGAATCGGTACCCCCTTGGGGGGAATCGGTTCCCTTCGAGCAATCTGGAATTTTTGGCTTTGAAATGGTTCGAAATACTTTGTAAAATTATTTTGAAATTGTTTTAAGTTTAAAACTTAATTTTACACTTTGAGTAAGGATTAAAAATGATCTTTGAAAGATTTGGAGTAATGTTTTGATATTCGAATAATTAAATCGAATATACTTAGAAAATCATTTGGAAAATCTTAAAATTCATTTAACTTAATTTGTTATATCGAAATATCAAAATGTTTTCAACACTACTGACGAACAAAGGTTCGGTATAGTTCTACCTAGGGTGACTATTCTATGGGTCACTATATGCATGGTTTTGGCTCTATGCTGAAAGGTACTCAAATTATCCTTGTTGTTGATGTCCCCTTGGGCTACCAAACCCTTAATTTTTAACCATTATAGGCTTAAAAATAATGAGTTCAATTCAAGAGGGCCTATTTCCCTATACACATAAGAGAAATAAATTCCCACAAAGGTATAAGGCATGGCATATATGCCCCAGAGTTTACTTGTTAAGGCTCATACATGGAATAAATTCACCATAAAATCAAAGTGTTCATCACTACTTACTTAGGACAGAGCTCGAGTATAGAGCTTATGTTATGCAAATACACGTAATGTGTGTGAGGAGGAATTCTCAAACCTTTGACCAAACAAAGCAACAAAACACAAGAATCACCCTTGAAAAGAGATTTTTTACGAAGCTAAAAATAAGAATTCAAAGATTAGTGTGGTTATTTACAAAGAATTCAAAATTAATCAATTAGTGTTCAATAAAAAGATCATAAACTAATTATGAACTCATATTCACAATTTCCACCATTACGACAACGTATAAGCGATTAACGACCTAACTCTATAACAAATCCCTAGTGGAGTGGCCAAGCTATCATAACATTTTTTTTAATGAGGATTTTCTCTCTTCAAAGATAAAAAACCTAATTTACCACTTACTTTTGGGAAAATTTAGAATTTTGTTAAAATTAATTTTAGGGTCGCCATCAACCTTGGGTTAGGTAGGTTGAATACCTAAAAATGTATTTTTAACAAAATTATAGAAAATCATTTTAAAAGATAAAATTGGTCATCGTATTACCAGAAACTCATTTTTAAGGATTCGTGAGTCTATTACGTGTGGGGAAGGGTAAGTACGCCCACAACGCTTAAAATTGGTGTCTCTCAATTATCTGTTGTCATAATAGTGGAAATGGAAAATTCAAGTCATAATTTACAATATGATCCTCTTATTAAACTTAACTAATTTATTTGAAATTATTTATCAAGTGGCATCCCCATTTTAAGAAGAAACTATAGGATTTGCACATCAACAATGAGAAGTCTATCCCATCGATTTTCTTCTCTATGAAAGAATATCCCCTCTTTAATTATAAAAACAAAATTATGGACAAAATTTATAACAAAACTAAATCTAAGGGTTTAATCCAAGGTCAAGGTATGTTGGGACTAAATTAAAAGAATGAAAAATTGCCTACAAAAATTAAAGGCAATTAAAATAGAAAAATTGACTAAATTATATCAATTTAAAGTATAGGGCTAAAATTGTAACATATCAAATAAAGGACTAAAATGAAAGAAAATAGAATATTTAGCTTAAATTCTAGAAATTAAAAGTTAGAATTTAAAGGACAAAAATATCAATGCTGGAAATTTAGAAGGTAGAAATTAGAATAATAGAAAATTGAAGGACATAAAAGTAAATAAATAAAAGGTAAAAGATAAGAGATAAATAATTTGGTAACTTTGATTAAATTAATATCAGGATAAATACTCACTAAGAAAGGAAATAAATAAATATCCACAACTTTCACAAATGACTAAAACGAACAAATTAGATAATGTAAAGACAAAAATTAAAATAATATAAAATAAAACACTTAAAACTAAATAAATGTAAATACAAGTAACGAAATGTAGATTGAGATAATTTAAAGAATAGAATTTTAAATTGCATCGAATATAAAGGAAATGAAATGTAAAGTACATGATTTAAAATGGTTAAATTAAAATAGTGGTAAGGATATAATTGCAAGAAGATAAATGTTAGGGGTTATGATTAAAATAAATCAACAGGTCATAATGATAATCAATGAAGTTTAACGGGTTAAAAGTGAAATAAATAAAAAAGAAAAAATAAAGAAATAGTGACCACAATGTAAATTCACGCTAACGTTGAAGGACTTAAATCCTATTAGCACAAAATTTAAATTTGGAGCTATTCTTGGTCAGTTTTACTTTGGTCGCATGAAACCCTAAAGCACCATTGCCATTTCATTTTTTTTCACGCACTCTATCCCTCTCTTTGTCTCAAGTGGCGCTGCTCACCAAAAACCATGCGGCCATTGTTTGGCCTTTTTCATTCTTATGGCCACCACTAGCAGTGGTCGGACTAACCTAGAATCTTCCAAAAAAAAAATCTTTTCCTCTTTACCCTTAAAACCGAGCCGTTAAAGACTTTCTACCCTTCAAAACTCGATCCGATGACACCAAAACGGACTTGAAGGGATGTCGACGAGACCCGATGAAGCACTCAATATCTAAAGGTAAACAAATCTAATCCCTCAACTCTCCTTTTTTTTACTCTTGTTTGAAAACGAAAAGGAAAATGGGAACGAAAATACCTCCTGAAAAACTTGTTGTATTGCTTCTAATGTGTGATTTTTGAAATCTCCAGTTACATGTTTCTTTTGGAGAGGGTTTTATAGAACCTCCGTAATTACATAAAGAAAACGAAAGAAAAGAAAAGCTTTTTTTGGTCTTTTATTCTAAAGTTCCCCTTTTGTTTTGTTTGCTTGTCCACGGTGGATCAACGAGTCGTGGGAAAGAGGGGGCAAACTGATCGCGAATGGATGACATTAAATGCCCTGTGTTCTTGGTGATCTGTCGTGGCTCGATTAATAAAGATGGCTACTTCGATGATGGCGTTATTGGATGCGAGTGTTGGTGGTGGCGGCGCGATTTAGTGGCTTGGATTAATGATACACAAGGGTTTTGAGAACCCTAGCTGCGGTGGATCTATGACCGTCAGATCATCTCCAAATCTAACGACTGTGAAGAGGTGGCAGTTGAGTGGCTAAGTGTAAAATGATGAAACTCTAATTGTTAATGGTTTTGCACGTGGGCTTTGGGTTTTCTAATTGGGTAATTGAGGCCACATGTAATACTTTAGAGTTTAATTTGTAAATGTACTGAATAATTAATGACATTATTTTTTAGTTTTATTTATTTTGGACGGTTTGTATGTGTATATATATATTCTTTTGGGCTTAATTAAAATAGAAAAAATTGGTGTTTACAATAATCAATGGATCCAAACAACTCGATAATTGGATCCGTGAATTTATTTATTGAACTTAATCCAAAATCCATGATCTTCAACTTCAAATCTTTGTTTTTGCTCATGAGCAAGAAATTTTATGATTCTAGATCCCTATAAATCACTGTTTACCCTTGCAGTTTGCGCGATTTGTCACACCATCGCCACTACACCATCCTCCGAGTACCTCATTTCCGTGACGAAATGTTCTCAATGATCTTTCACATCACGAGGATTTCGTTGGTTAACAACACGTCGGCGATGGAAACTTGGTATTGTAGAAGCTCTAGTTTTCTCGGCTCGAGGCGATGGTGTTGCTGTGATGGTGAATCTTTCAAAGTTTTAATTGTGAATTTTCTGCATTTTTCACGATTTTCATTACTTCTTTTTATACATTTTCTTTCAATGGAGAACCCACCTAATTTGATTTCAAATAATTACAACTAATAATTAGAAACAAGAAGGCTACTGCAATGTAATAGAGATGTGTGAAGAAGAAATCGGGAGAAGATGAGCAATATTGGGGGTTAGAGAAAAACTAGGTAAGTTGAAATGTTGTCCCTAAACAAATTTGAATTTATAAAAAGACTCATAATCAGTATTTTGTCTAGAGCTTGGGGTTAAAATAAACATTAAACCATTTTACTAACGGACCATGTCATCAAACTAACGACATTTCAACGTCCAAGTGACCAAAACATAATAAAACGATAACATAAGTGACCAAAACTTAATAAAACAATAATGTAAATGACCAAAACTTATGTTTTTTGGATTTGGTGAGCAAAAGTTTACAAATATAAAATGAAAAGTGACCAAAACTTAATCTATGTATTATCTACATGGAAATGATAAAATTTAAATTTTATATATTTACTGAGACACGTCAACTAATCGTTAAAGGTTTAACAACAATTTACCTTCAATGATCATTAAAACGAAACGAAAGTGACCATTTATGTAGTTTATCCTTTAAAATACATAAATGAAACAAATGATACGTTCTCAATCTCCAATGTAAACTTTAAGGGGGTGTTTGATTCAAGGATTGTGGGATTCCCATGGGATGGGAATCCCACATTCCCATGTTTGGTTGGCCAGGAATCTCATTCCCGATAATGTTTTATTACCAATAGTAGATTTTTTGGGGTATATTACCGGGAATGTCATTACCTCCCTTCCCTTAGGTATTGTAACATTACCGGCATTTTAGACTAAAATGCCCTTGAATTTTTATTTTTTTTCAAAAATATCCTTCTTCTGTCATTGAATAATAAAAATTATGAGAAGGTTAAATTACAAATTTATCCTTAAATTATTTTAGATTTACAAAAAAAAAAGTCTATAATTAAAATTTTATATGAAGTTCAGGGGTTAAAAAAAATTACCCTTTCATTAAACCTTTTTTATATTTTAATTTTGTAAAAAGAATTATATAAATATTATGAATTTAATTTTTTAAGAAAATATATAAATATTTTACAATTTGTAATATTATACAAATATATAATAAGGACAATTTGGTCAAATATACATTCCAATAATCTTTTATTCCTTTAACCAAACACGGTAATCTTACATTCCTGCTAAACCAACCAAACACAAAATACAACATTCTCAGTAATCATATTCATTGGTAATCTTTTATTCCTACTGGTAATCTTACATTCCGTGAACCAAACGCACCCTAAGGGTATGTTTAGTTTTAGTCCTATTTTTATTTTCTAAAAATAGTTTTCATTTTCAATTGTTTGCCAATTAGAAAATATATTTAGTTAATATAAGTGAAAACTTGAATTCAAAAATAAAAAGAGTGAAAATATATTTGATATCTAATATTTTAAAATAGAGATGAATAAGTAGTTATTAAATATTTAAACTAAAATAGAATTATTAAAAAATTTCATTACATAAATTTAACATGTGAGTTATGCAAATATAAAATAATAAAGTTGATAAAAAATTTATAACAGAAAAAAATATTTTAATTTATAATAAAAAAATGTAATTGCATATTGAAAATCAATTAAATTAAAAAATATATAAAAATATTGTTGTAAACAAGAGCACACAAAAGTATCATTAAAATAAAATATATATTTAGTGGTATTTAAGGTCAAATTTTTTTTAAATAAAATTTAGTGTATCCCTTAAACTGAGAAAGAAACGGTCATAACGCTTACACAAAAATTCATAAAGCTTACATGATAATCTACAATATTGATATGATAGATCATAATATTGTTGTGACAGTACACGACAGGAGAAAATTTGGTAGATGAGTTAAATTAATTTTTTTACTAAGTTTGAGTACATAATTGATTTTTTAGAAAATTTGAGAACTTATTTAATTTTTAAAATATTAAGGTATTATTTAAATTTAAAATATAAAATTATTAATATATTCAATACATTAAATATAAAAATACTATAAAATTAAATTATAAAAAATTAAGTATAAGGACCAAATTAAGTGTAAAAATATTTAGGGACCATATTGGATTTTTTGAAAAAGTTTAAGGGTTTTAGATATCATTAAATAAAAAAAATATTCTTAGAAGGATTTGAATCTATATAAATTAAGTTAAAATTCTAGATTTCGTGTTTTTTTGTTTTATAACTTTTCAGAAACGTTTTAATGAAAATGCTGAAAACATCTTTTTTATATTTTCATATTTTCAATTATTTTTATTTTTCATTTTCCAAAAATCATTTTTTAATTTTACAACTAAACACATTTTCTTCAATATTTCTATTCTCTAAAAGAATAACATACATTTTCTATAATCAAACAAACCCTAAAACTCGAGAAATTCTACAGTACGACACCCTTAATATACAACTAAAAAAAGACGTTACTAATTTTGTTATTATTTAAATAACAAAACCGATAAAAAAATTACCTAAAACATTATTATTTCTACCTAAAACATCAATGTTTTTTAACATTTATGGTAAAGTGCCCAACAATAACAAAACCGGTAGAAAAAATAACAAAACAAATTGTGCTTTATCTGTTTTGTTAACAAAACCAGTAAAACGCCCGATAATAACAAAATTGATAGAAATAATAATGTTTCAGGTAATTTTTTTACCAGTTTTGTTATTTAAATAATAACAAAATCGATATCGCTTTTTTTAACCGTATATTGAGGATGTCGCACGTGATAATTTCCCCTAAAACTTCGTTACTAAGAGATCAAATGTATAATTAAATTAAAATATAAAACACTATTTAAACTATAAAAGATCCGATATAAATTTTTAATGGATATTAATTTTAATTCACTTATTGAACATTTTTTCGTTTTATTATAAAATATCATATAATAGAATAAGGCACTAGATCATTTAAGCATGGTCAGTGGTTCGAATCCTAACGTTTACGAATAGAGCAAACTAGAATGGGAGGGTTATCTTCACCTTTACAGTACTTGATTCAGATTAGTTGACCAATAAATCGAATACTGATGGATCTAAAAAATATATTAACTACTTTTTTATCTTTATTATTAGATTTATTTTTTTTAAAAGTAGGGTAATAGCTAGGGGTGTTTTCTTGTGAGCCGTTCAAACTTGTCAACGCTTGATTCGAGTTAACTCGATCGATACTGTTGAGTTAATCGATTGATGGAATTAGCAAAGAGGGGGGTGAATTGGCAATTAAAAATTTGGTGGAAGCTTTTGCAGAAAATTGAAAGTAATTGCACAGCGATTTAGATTGGTTCGACTTTCTCAATCAAAGTCTACGTCCACTACCTTAGCTATCCACACTAAGGATTTTTCAACAAATTCACTAATTTGTTCTTTCTTTTGAGGCCAAAGAGATAACCTTACAACATCCTCAAGAATATACCCCAATTCTTGAGAACATTCTTTCCCAAAGAGAAGATTACAAATTTGCAAACTTACAAGGAAAACCTCACAAGGTAAGATGTTTGCACAATTCTAGAACAAGAAAAGAACACTCACAAATAATTACAAATGAGCACAAATGGTGTTCTTTGAAAGCAAAAAGAATATTGAAAGGAAAATTGGCTTGATTTGCACAAACTTGGTGTTTGATGCTTTCTCTCTTGTTTCTCTATAATTTCATATTGATCAAGGGCTTCAGAACTTGTTTAAATACACCTTGAATCACTTCTGAACGTTGGGGATGATTAGTGAAGATCATATAGTCGTTTTAGTGTGAAAACAATTAATAAAACAGCTTGGAGCTGGGGGGGGAATCGGTACCCCCTATGGGGAATCGGTTCCCTAAGTGTAAAATTCAAATATTTCGACCGTTATACAAGGGGGGAATCGGTACCCCCTGGGGGGGGAATCGGTTCCCTCTGAGCATACTGGAATTCTCGGAGTCAAACCATTCAGGGGGGAATCGGTACCCCATTAGGGGGGAAATCAGTTCCCTCTGAGCAATCTGGAATTTTTGGCTTTGAAATGGTTCGAAATACTTTGTAAAATTATTTTGAAATTGTTTTAAGATTAAAACTTTATTTTACAGTTTGAGTAAGGATTAAAAATGATCTTTGAAAGATTTGGAGTAATGTTTTGATATTCGAATAATTCTATCGAATATACTTAGAAAATCATTTGGAAAATCTTAAAATTCATTTAACTTAATTTGTTATATTGAAATATCAAAATGTTTTCAACAATCTCCCCCTTTTTGATATAACAAAACATTTTAGTATTTTTAAGATTTTGAAATCAAGTTTTGAAATTACTCCCCCTTATTTTAACACTTCTCCCATTTAGCATTTAGAAAACGCATTTAACACCATTTAACACTTCTCCCCCTTTTTGTTAAATCAAAAAGACATTTTAAAGAATTTAAACAAGTTTTTGAAGTCATTTAGCCAATTGATTATATATAACATAAGCTGCTAAGATCACAAGCAAGAGAAACGTTAGCCATTAGTTTCATAATCAATATTCATAATTAATGTGAAATGGCAAAATTGGTCATATATCTAATCATGAAGTAAATGATGCAATAATGAATAAATTTAATCACACCAAATAGATAATTTCTAACCATTCATAAATCCAAACAAATTCAAAGTCAATCAATCCACAAATTCAAACATTCCAAAATAGTCAAAATGTTAAAACAATAAGTTTGGAGTTCAAAGCAAAACATAGAATCACATATCCGGATCAGGAGGAGGAAAACGAGCTCGCATAGCGGCCATTTCGTTAGTGAGGTCATTAATACGTACGTTGGTTGCTTCATTATTTGCACGCATTTCCCAAAGAATTTCTAATTGTTGAGCTCCCATTGTGGATAAATGGGACTCTATAGAAGTGAAGCGCGAATCCATAGTAGCGTATCGAAAATCGAATGTCTCCATAAAGGATTGGAAATATGGAGGCATTTGATGTGTTTGTTGTGCTTGCTCTTCGGGCTTCTCCTCGGGCTGCTCAGGCTCATCTTCGGTTTCATCGATGTCTCGCATTAATTGCTCAAGCTCGAGATCTTCGTCAGCTTCGGGTGGAGCTTGTGAAGAACTAGCTCCCGGAGTATTTGTAGAAGATCGAACCCATTCACCGGTTTCCTTATCCTTAATCCATCCCGCTCTCGTTAAGGAAAAAAGGTTAATTTGTTTCTTAAGGGGGAAAATGGCATCTAGACCAACTCTAAGCCCAGCTTTGGAAAACAGATTACTCAAGATGCAACCGTAAACAAGAGATGAACAGAGTTTTTTGTTAGGAACAAGATTTACGGTTTCAACAATTTCAGCAAAAATAATCTGAGGAAGGTTGATTTTAATATTGTTTTCGAAACAATGTAACCACCAAAGATCTAAGGCTTTAAGAGTAGAATAACGACCTCCGGATGGTCGAAACCACCAAGAAATCATTAGATGAAGAAAACGTTCATGAAGGTCTAGGACACTTGCACTATCCCTTCTTTTATAACGAGATCCTAAAACCTGTTTTTCATTTGAAATACCACCATTATCTAATCCGAATGTATTGGCTATGTAAGCCGAGTCAATATATAAGAATTATCCTAGAAGGTAGGAACGAATTCCTATTGGTTTCGGTTTCAGTTTGGTTTTTAACACAAACGACATTAGAATAAAAAATACGAACAAGTTGATGGTAAACGATGGGTCCAAGGTCAAAGAGTTTATCAAATTTCCACTCTTGTAAAAGAGGAAGATGTTTAAAATTGATAGCTAACATAGCTTGACGAGAAGGAATACATTCTTCCCGGATTTTGTAAGAGTCAAAATATTGATAATACCAAAAACGATGATTTCTAGGACCAGGATGATTGAAACACGAATTTTGGATGGTCAAGTTAGGATAAATGGGATTAGGATTAGAAATTGGAATAGGAGGAGGATTTGGAGGTGGATTTGGTTGACGGTGTGAACGACTAGATGATGACCTAGCACGTTTAAGATTGGACATGGTTTAGGGAATCGGAATAGTATGGATAACCTCAATTTAGAAAACACATGTATGCAATTCAATCAATCCCAAAACTCAATTGAGTCCTTAATATTTCAAGGTTCTCTAAATCAATCTTATTGGGCAAAGTTTTTGAAAACGTTTGAAAAATATGGTTTTGATAAATAATATATACATAGTTTTCATAACAACAACATAATTCAATCAAAACACAATAATTTGAAAATCAACATTTTTTTTATTTCACAATTTTAGAAAATTTTGGAAAATTCTTGTGTTTTTGATGAAATTAGTTGTGATATCAAGTTTCTAATCACTAAATAATCAATGCCAAATCTAAATTTTCAACCTAGAACTAATTAAAACTAGTTCTATGATCATAAATTGATGAAATAGAAGTTTTGGAAAAATACCTTGAAGGATTTCGGATTTGAGTGAGATTAGATGAAGTTTGCACGTTTTTGATGATTCCAACAGGTTTAGAGGATGATATTTGAAGTGAATTTCGATTAAAAACGTTGATTTGAGGCAAGAATGGAGATTTGAGAGAGTAGAGGGAAGAAATGGCGTGAAGGAATAAGAGAGGGTTTGAGCAAATATTGGGTTCTGTCCGTGTTAAAACCAGAACCCTAGGGGGGTATCGGTTCCCCTGTGGGGGGAATCGGTTCCCCTTCAAAGGGGGAATCGGCTCCCTCAAGGGGGGATCGATTCTCTCTGCACCAAAATGCTAAAATCTGATTTTAAACATCCAAAATGCTAAATTAATTTCCTCTAGTGGTATTGGCAACTCATATATTGAAAATTAATCATGTTCAAACAATTCAATTAATCTTTAAACGATATTTTAACATAAAATTAAATTTTCATCAAGAATCATAAACTCCCCCTAACTAATAGCAATGAATGCAATTAAAAATTACTATTATAAGCATTTTTCATTTATTATTAAAAGTGCTAAAATTATTTTAAACACTAAGTGAAGATAGATTGGTCAAACCTAATTCTCTCCTAAGTGTCCAAAATCGTTCCTTGTCTAAAGGTTTTGTAAAGATATCCGCTAATTGGTGCAAAGTATCAACAAATTCTAGAACTACATCTTCCTTAGTGACATGGTCTCTAATGAAGTGATGTCTTATTTCAATGTGCTTAGTTCTAGAGTGATGGATGGGATTTTTAGTGAGACAAATAGCACTAGTATTGTCACACTTGATAGGAATGGTACCTACTTCAATTCCATAATCAAAAAGTTGTTGTTTCATCCATAAAACTTGTGCACAACAACTACCAGCTGAAATGTATTCGGCTTTAGTGGTAGATAATGCAACACAATTTTGTTTCTTTGAAAACCAAGAAATTAGCATATTTCCAAGGAATTGGCAAGTACTGGAGGTGCTTTTCCTATCTAATTTGCATCCTCCATAATCCGCATCAGAAAAAGCATGCAAGCTAAAGCTAGAGTCTCTAGGATACCAAAGTCCTAAACTAGGAGTGTTTTTAAGGTATCTAAAGATTCTCTTAACAGCTAGTAAATGTGATTCCTTAGGACATGATTGAAATCTAGCACATAAGCAAACACTAAACATAATATCCGGTCTACTTGCAGTTAGATAAAGTAGAGATCCAATCATTGACCTATATAATTTAACATCTACATATTTACCTCCTTCATCTAAGTCAAGCTTTGTTGAAGAGCTCATTGGAGTGTCATGAGGTTTCCCATTTTCCAGTCCAAACTTCTTGAGCATATCTTTGACGTACTTATCTTGATTGATGAAGATGCCATCTTTTCTTTGCTTGATTTGGAGTCCCAAGAAAAATGAGAGCTCCCCCATCATGCTCATCTCAAACTCACTTTGCATTAGCTTAGAAAATTATTGGCAAAAAATATCATTAGTAGAACCAAATATTATATCATCAACATAAATTTGAACTACTAATAAATCTTTACCTTTATGCTTCAAAAACAATGTAGTGTCAACCTTTCCTTTTGAAAAACCTTTTTCAATTAAAACATTTGACAATCTTTCATACCAAGCTCTAGGAGCTTGCTTTAAACCATAAAGAGCTTTTGTCAATTTTAAAACATGATCCGGAAAATTTGATTCTTCAAAACCTGGAGGTTGTTCCACATACACTTCTTCTTTTATAAAACCATTTAAAAATGCACTTTTAACATCCATTTGATATAATTTAAATTCATTGAAACATGCAAATGCTAATAACATTCT